TTATCCTTCTTCCTACCCCCTCTCTTCCACTTAGACTGCACCTTTTCCATTAAAGGACAATATTTGCCCCCTAAATGGACTTTCCAGTGCATTTTTTATCTTTATAAATACAGTATTAATAATGTTTTAAATAAAAAAAAATGTTCAATAGAGTAATATGCAATGATGATAAAAAAGTGAAAAGTGATTCTTTTAAATACTAATCGCTCCATTAGGTGGCGGTAAGTCACTGTCTTAATGCGTAAGTCATCAAGTCAGTCGTTCAGTCAGTAACGAAGCAAGTGGCTGTATTTACGAATGAATCATTGAATCAATGGCTTTCACGAACGATTCGTTCACGTAACACCGCAAAACTCAGCATTTTGTTCACGTACGTCTCCTTTCTTTCTTTTCATCCATGATGACATTAAAGTCATCTGTTGCGGCGTCTGGTGTTTCATTGCTGACTGTGCTGCAATCGCGATACCCGCTCATTAGAACTTTCAGTGAGCTATTTTTAGAGTGTGTATGCGACGTTCCTGGACGCGGACGCGTGCGTCTGTGTCATGCTCGGTCCTGCTCCTCCGTGGCGATGACGGTGTGTGGTTAAAAAAAAAAAAAACTAATTTGAAAGTGGCCGGGTCACAAACGGAATTTTGAAAAGTGGGGGGGGGACATGTCCTCCCGTCCCCAGTGGAAATTACGCCCCTGAGATTTACAACAGTGTGAAATTAATTCTTATTTTTTTCCAATTCCTCTTGTTCTGTCTGCCTTCATGAAATCTGAGGCATTTGCTGTGAAACTTTTTAACAGCATTTCATGTCCTACTTAGTGCTAATGTATGAGGCTAATCAGAAGGTTCATTTCAGAACATATAAATAATATTATTAGTGAGCTTTGAGCTGTTAATAGCAGAGGAACGTTTAAAAAGAGAGAGAGAAAAGTGAAGTGAAAAATATAGCCAAATGCATTATTTAGCATCATTTAAAGGAACCTATTATTTAAAGGGACAGTTCACCTAAAAATTCACAATTATAAGTCACAATTTTCTCTCATGCCATCCGTATCTATATTACTTTATTTTTATAGTGTAACACAAAATAAAACATTTTAAGAAGGTCCACGCTAATCTTCTGATTACAATGAAAGTGGATGGGGACTGGGCGGCCAACGGCCAAAAAGAATAAATAAAGCATCATAAAAGTTATATTCTTTATATATATTATAGCTTTATGTTTGGAAATGACTGAAAATGAAATCATTATTGGTTAAAAAAATCCTGCCTTGAAGCTGTAGTCACCAATCACTTTCATTGTATGGAAAAGAGCAGCTTGCACAGTCTGCTATAAATATCTCCATTTATGTTCCACTGAAGAAAAAAAAGTCAGATACTGATTCTAAAAGACATGAGGGTGAAATTATTGTCAGAATTAAATTTTTTTGCGTGAACTGTCTCTTTAAATGAACTCTTCTTGTCTTTCTTTTGAAGGAAACCCATAACATTCCCATAAACTGTGTGGTAAGATATATTTGCTCTTTTCTGAAACTGTAACTTCAGAGTGGTTTTTGCGGTGTGCATCCCATGAAGCAATGTTATTCATCAAGATCATTCCGCATGGGCCCATAGATACGCCGTCAAACAAACAATCGGCAGCTCTTTGTATCTGTGTCTGTGAAACCCGACCCAGCGGCGCACTCAAACAAACAATCGGCAGCTCTTTGTATCTACGTCTGTGTGAAACCCGACCCAGCGGCACACCATGTGCAGCCAGGCGCCTGCTTGCTTTACAGTCATGTGGCGATAGAAGGTCTATCAGCAGACAGATGTATCCTGATGGTGTGAAGCCACATTCACCATTTGTGGAGGGTAACGATCGCCCCTGGGTCGGCATCCCGTAGCCGCATCTTAATCTTAACCATATAAGAGAAGCCACAAAGCTGGCTGCAGATCAGTAACAAAGGGTAACTTATTCCAATGTTGTTTGTTTTGGAGCGTGTAAATCCTTGAACGATCCTCCTTCAGCAGCGAGGGAGGCTTTCCTAATAATATCCCACCGTAGAGGGCGTCTTTCAGGGTTGTGCTGCATTAATTCCTCATCTATTTCCAGTGCATTGCAGGCCTATGAAGATGCAGCTCGGACACAAAACTTTATACGCAGTTGCGCATCAGTTGCAGTAGGAAAAGTCAACCAATCAGGCAAATAAAAGAGCTATATATCTGACCTGCATTAACCTGGATGGCAGATGCAGGTTTCGTGAAGTAGTACAAAGATGTAAGATGCCACACAGACTGCAGGTGATGCTATTACAAGCGTGTCTGTAGCAGTGAATTAGCCCAATAAACCCTGCAGTCCAGGCACCCGGGCTGGAGCAGGATCCGGTTTCTGGCGGGGGGGCTTGGTCTTGTTAAGATGAGAGGCTGTCAACATGTGAGCGTCGTGTCGTGTGTTGTTGCATATTTCGGGTGCTGGCATCTAGGAGGTTATGCTAGCAATGTGACATCTTTTTAAGACTGTTAACCTTGCCTTTAACTTGCCGTTCTCGTGTAAAACGAAGCCTGTGGGACGTGTGTTCCTTCGTGGAAATGTGAGCAAACAGGGTCACGGATCTGCTTTTGTCCTGGAGTACAATGTCACATAATCAACAACCAGCCATGGGTCAAAGTTAATTAACACTCATTATCACTCCGTCCCAAAATACGCCTGCGTGTAGTGCAGTCATAGTGAAACACTGATCTATAAGAGGAAATATTACGGCTATGGTTGCTATTTAGTAGGAATGAATAGCTTATTTAGAAAGGCATCGATAATAAAGGGATAACGCAGTATTGATATAATGAGCATAATACACTAGTTGGTCATTGAAGCCTATATGACTGTGAATGTTATGAACGTGAAGTGTGAACATTATGAATCTGCACAGTGTGATTTCAAGTTCATGTCATGGTTATGTTGTATCTCCATTTATTGTACACATCCCAGATCTATACTAGTCAAGGGTAATAGTAAAAAAAAGATATAGGCAAGATATATATGATTATACATACATTTCTTCTATTTTTTTATTTTATTTTATTTTAAAATATTATAATTTATATTGGATTATTCCATTTATTTTAATTAATTAATTGATTTAATTTTTGTTTATTTTACATAAAGGCTGTATATTATATTATATTATATTATATTATGAATAATAATGTAGACCATTATTGGGTTTGGGGGACCAGAGTTAAATTTTATTTGCCCATTAAAAAACCCATTTTAACTGACTAGTGATCAAAATATTAGGGAGAAATCCCTTGTGTTTTTGTATGTCAGCATCTCCATTGACACAAAAAGATTCACATTTAGGTGAGTTAAAATGTAATCTGGTAAAACCCATAAGCAGCACTTCAAAATTTCAGTCAGCGCTGTTCAATATTAGAAAGGTGCATCTCATTGTTAAATTATTCAGAAAGTGTCAGGCCCTGAAAGCCCAGCGGAGGTGGCGATTGAGCGCCATTCAGATAAACAAGAATTCCAGTGTTTTAATTGTGAAACGAGGGCCGGCCCACTGGGCCTTCATGTCCATTCCATTCCTCTCCAGCATGCAACATGAAATGGGTCCTCGGCCACCTTTAAGTGGTTTCCACGGAAACTGCCCATCCCCTGGAGAGGTTTGCATAATTAAATTAAGACTCTTTTGTATGTCAATTAATTAAAAGCAGGGACAGGTCTTTAAGGCTCTGCACTCATCAGAATCGCGGGTCGCAATGGATGGATTCAGAATGTTTTCACAACCGTCACGCCTCAATAAATTAGCCACCCATCACACTTTATTTGCGCTCTTTGTGGGGGGAAAATATCGACGGGAGCTTTGAATGATGAAGGAGAATGGGACGCCTTTAAAGACACGGTGAGGTGCTTCACGCGAGTACTTGAACACCTCTGCGCTCTTGAGTGTTTCCTGTAATTGTTGTCACCAACACTTTTGAGGATGTGTGTTAACGCAAACACAAATGGCTCTCTGCTGTTTACCTGTTATTTTTCTGTGAGCTGAGTGCTCTAAAGATGCACATGCGCCACAAGCGGGAGATGGGCATGTGCGTGTCCGGATGTCACATGGAGAGAGCGACTGTGCCCCTGTCTGTCAGCAGCTGGTCATCTCCTGTCTACATCCCTGAAATGGCCACTGACAGCTGCCGTGCCGTTTATGGTGGGCTCACAGCGGCCCGCTCCCCTCACAGTGCTTTTAAAGTGACAGCACAGGTTATCTGACTGCTTTATTGAAGAGGTTGTGTTTGTGCTAGAATGATGTGCGAAAAGTAAATGTTGTTTTTTTTCTTGTCTCTGCTTTTTTTATCAGGCGTTCGACTGGACCGCGTGCGTGGTGGAAGACAGAAGTACAAACGCCGGATAGATGCAGAAAACAGCCCCTATTTGAACCCTCAACTGGCTCTGCCGCCCAAAAAGCCATGTAAGAACATTGTATTCATTTAAAGTATTTTTTCTTAGATTTTCTCAGCCTCAAGAATTTTTTTCTCATACAAATGCATACACTTTTTTAAGCAACACTCCCATTTTTAATGTAAAAATAAAACAGGTGCAAATGTTGCATTTAAAAAAATGCACATTTAAGGTTTCATACAAAAAAGAAAATTATTTCATAATTTTCTCATCCTTATGTCATTCCAAATCTGACAGACTTTCCTTTGCGGAACTCAAAAGAAGATTTTTTTTTTTTTTTTTTTTTTTTTTTTTTTTTTTTTTTTTTTAGCATTTTTTGGCCATACAATGAAAGTTAATGGCGTCCAAATTGGTTTTAAAAAAAAGTAAATAAATTCTTCAATATATCTTATTTTGTGCTCTGCAGAAGAAAGAAAGTTATTTGAAAAACAGTCAAACCATTTGTTAAAATGTCCTATTTTGTGTTCGACAAAAAGTCATACAGGTTCAGAATGACACAAGGGTGATTAAATGATGACAGTTATCTTTTTTGGGTGAAATATCCCTTCAAGTTTGCGTTTTTTGCATCTGTCAAACCCCAAAAAAGATAAAACACAGAATCTTTCACTAATTTCTTAATGTCACCTTACAGTGACCTGCCTTCTTTCCAATGCGCCAGGAAATTGGACACAAAACAAGAAAGACAGAGATGTAGTATATGACAGAGCCAATCGACAAAGATGTTTGTGCATGTGTGTGTGTGTGTGTGTGTGTGTGTTAGGGGAGAGCGAGCGAACGCGAGAGGGAGAGAGAGGTCTAATCCGGATTAAATCCAATCTGGCAAAGACATCAAACCCACAATACCAGAGCTTCCGCTCTGTCAGACTGCTCTGCAAAGAGACAGCACGACAGCGCTTAACAGATTTGTCCCTAAAGCCTTTTTACTTAATGGTAGCATATTCTCCTGGAATACAATATGATTTTATGCATGATAGCAGTGGAAATAATCTTAATTATTACAGTGGTAGAAATCATTTTAGGAATACAACGCTCTGAATAACCTTCTGCCTAATCCTACTGATCCCTCCTTCCAGGTTCAGGCTTATTTCCAGCCACCCAAAGCAAATTATTTTAAAGCTTATTCTCTATGTCCAGCTCCCATCCACTTTCATTACTTCATTTTTTCTCTGCTATTGTATGCTAGCAAGATGGGGACTTTGGGAGACAGTATAAGGGGGAGGCGATGGACCACTCATTGGAAAATGAACCGGACAAAGCACTCAATATGGCATCCTTCCCACTTTTCAGTTAAAAGAGCCAGTCTGATTTTTAATTTGAGTTTGTTAACTAGAATTTGCATTGCATTTTTTATGTGCACATTTTGTGAGCTAAAGAATCTGCGTTTATACTACCATTGTTATGCTGATTTTATATATTTCAATACTGACAATCAGTTTTAAAGATTTTGGTCAGTTTTTACCCTTTACTGACATATAAAATAGCTTATTGAGATTTGTCTTAAAGGGAATATGCTTTGGTCGGAATTCCGTTTTGGATTTAAATATCTTTTATCCAACATAAATCCCCACTGATGTCTTTTTATCAATCTGTAATCTAGAATATGTCCACCCTTGCATGGGCCTACAGACAAATGTTTAAGTTTTGTAAAGGGTTTTCGTATTTTAGTCCAGTGTCTCATTAATAGAGGCTTTTATCAGTCTGTCTCTGAGCTCCCTGTATCTTTTCTCTCATTCCTTTCTATCGCTTTCTCTATTTTCACAAACAGTGAGAAGTAACCATGGTCCCAGCCTACCTGATTGATTATTTGCACATAACAAAGGCATGGGGTTTGGAAATTGGGTTGCATTGATTCTAATTAGGGAAACATTAAATAAGATTTAGCTAGAGATAGCACTTACAGGCTCCCCCACTCCCTGGAGTAGCAGGGCTGGGCTGATTGATCCATTTCTTCCCCTCCTCCAACACACACACACCTCAGAAGGTAATGCTTTTTAATTTAGTGATCTGTTTTGTCCTCGGACCTCAAACACAGATGCACTGGGCTCAAAGTGATTTGTCTGGGCCTTGCAAATACACAGACAAGCACACAAAAATTGCATTGCTGTATTTGGGTTCTGTCTGTCTATCATATTGCATTGATATAGATGATTAAACAGCAAATGAATTCATTTAACTGTAAGGGTGTCGCTAATTACCTATTCCAATCTCCCTCACCGACGCAATCCGATCTGAAATGTGTGTCCTTTCTCTCATTAGATTGACAGAATAGCCCGAACACGAATCTTTATAAGCGCAATTCACAGCATAATCCACAATGAGAAAATCATCAGAAGGATGTAAATTAAAAAAGCAGCAGTGGTTCTCAACCGTATTTTATTTTATTATTTTATTTTATTTCTTTTTTTATTTATTATAATTTTTTTAAGTTTCACCAAGCATTCAAACTCCATTATTTTGGATTAATTTTATCTGGCCAGCATAAAATTCCCTTATTACTAAGAAATCTGTCTTAAAGCAAAACTTGCGAAGAACCACTGCTCTGCACCATCAAACTCTCTCCTAACCAATAAACAAGTAACCAAAAAAGCTTTTATTTTCGATTATAAAAAGCACCAGGCATTCATTCCTACACCAAAAACAGCATTTTCAGTTCCACAAACACCATCTTTAAGCCCAGAGAAAACAACTCTGCCAATATTTCATGTAATCTGATTGCTTTCTTTGCTACTGAACCAAACACTATATGACCTTGCTGGTATAATCCCAATCTGTTTCTTTGTTCTCCCCTCGGTGTTCAAATACAGTCCCCTTTGGCTGCCTTGCAGATAACAAGATTGTGTCTCACTTGCTGGTGGCGGAGCCTGAGAAGATCTACGCCATGCCTGACCCCACCGTGCCCGACAGCGACATCAAAGCCCTGACCACGCTCTGCGACCTGGCAGACAGGGAACTGGTGGTCAACATTGGCTGGGCCAAGCATATCCCAGGTAGGACATGACCAGAGATAGAAATTACTCACAACTACAGGCAGACTCGCAGTGTGAACCATGCATTGAATGGTCTGGGGGTAACACATTCAGTCTAGATGAAAAATTGCAAACCAGATGTTTTATACAGGTTTAAAAAGTCAAATTGGATATTAAATATCTGATGGCAATGTCAGTTTAAACATGAACATTTATAAAAAAGCAACTCCGTAAACAGTGGTGCCCACAAGTCTGAGAATGCTACTATTCATTTCTAATTTAAAACAAAAATTGAATACATTTTTTTTGATTACAAATGATAATTATAGCATGTTACAGATTAAATAAAATATGAAAATTAATCGAACTTTTAAAAAAATACTTTTTTTAATTATTTGTTTGCCATTCATTTTATCCAGCATGATTTGAGAATGATACAAAGAGCATCTTGTGCTTTTTTCAAGAAAATCAAATGATCGTTATCACAAATGTTTTTTATTTTATTGTTCTTATTTATTTTTCTGTATGTATTTATAGAAATATAAAATAGATAAATTATTTATTATATTTATATTATATTTTTCTATTTTTATTTCTATTTTATATATAATATTTTATCATAATGTTTGATTGTTTTACATTTTTATTTATCCTAAAGCTTTCTGTTTATTTTCAGGTTTAAATAAAATTTGAAATTCTACAATTTCAGCATAGTCTCAGACTTCTGTGCTTCACTGTATGTGCAAATTCTGAACAAAAACTGTAAAGTGTTTGAGTAATTGCTGTTTTCAGCAAGTGCAAAACACTCTCCTGAACTCTAAACAAAACTGTGCCTTGTCAGTCAAGGGCATTTGCCATCACCCAGGCCACCAGTGACACGTTCCTTAGGTCAGCATTTTTCCTCCCTCTGTGACAGCAGACAAGGATCAATTTGTTTAGTTTTAGCTCAAATCCTTCCTCAGTATAGCGCGATATCTGTGGAGGGGAGACATTTTCTCCTGCTGTTTCAGCCAACCGGCAGCCTTGTTGAAAGGATTCCTGACATTAGCCATGAACGATAATGGCATGACTGACCAAGATTGAGACAAGTGTCCCCCCTCCTCTCTCTCTACTGCTGCTTATTGCCCATCTCCACAAGACAGAATGAGGAGTTTCCAGTAATCTTCTTAACAAAGCCCTTCTTTTGCATTTAATCTGAGATGGCCCTGGTCACAGACAGTGGCTGCCCACTTCAGCCCTCAGTGTTTGAAAAGAGCTTCCCATAGGTGACTGGCTGTGGAGCGAGAGCAAAAATTAGGTAAAGAGAAAGAAAGCTCTCAAATCAGACAATAGTAAGAGTGGTTAACCTGGAGGAGGAGACATAGTGGTAGTTTCACAGCATGTGAACATGCCCAAGTTCTTTTATGAGATTCATTCATCCACTTTCACTAAAGAAAAGAAAAAACTCTTTTAACCAAACATGTTAACACCTTTATTTGCTGTACAGTAAGTTGTGTTGTAGTTCGCCTTGTGCTGTAGATATGATTGTGCTAATACTGGCCCCGGGCAATAGTGCCACACAAGCCATAAAATGGGCTTAAAGCTCATCAGAGTGCCAATTTCCTGCCAGGCACGAGATGCAGGATTGGGAGGTTATTTCTGCTGCTACATGCCAGATTGACCCAGACTTGCCCTGTGGATTTAATGGGATTTTCGCTGTGTGCAGGAAGCCACACCACTGGATCTTCTGGAATGTTGCACATTTGTGTACATAGTATAGACTGCATACTGTAATGTAGCATAGTATGATGCTTATGTTATATTATACTTTAATAGTTTGGATCAGTAATATTTTTTAAGAAATAAAAAAAAAACACTGAACTGATGCACTGAATTGATCAAATTTGATGGTAAAACATTTTTAATGTTACAAAAAAATGCTATTTAAAATAAATACTTTTTTCTGAACTTTCTATTTATTAATAATTCCTGAAAAATGTGTCAAGATTTCCACAAAAATATTAGGCAGCATAACTGTTTTCAGCACTGATAATAATAAATCAGCATATTTTAAAAGATTTACGAACAATCAAGTAACACTGAATACTGGAAAAGTGGCTTTTGAAAATTTACATCACAAGAATAAATTACATTGTAAGCCATATTAAAATAAAAAAAAAATCTGTGTATTACTATAGAAAATATTTTAAAATATTACTGTTTTTATTCAAATAAATGCACCCTTGGTAATCATAAACTACTTATTAAAAAAAATAAAAACTTTTAAAGGGAATTATATATTTACATGTACTATATTTATGGTATTTTATAATATACTATAGTAAGAATAGTATGGTGGAATGTAGTGGCCATTATTCAGAACTAGAAAGTTTTCTTGAAAAAAGTTTTATGCTACGTAATCAATGTAGAAATAATACATTTGTCTTGACACATATTTATAAAAAAAAAATTATCCAAGTTGTGGGGAAAAATATTCATTCAGTTTCACAATTCACTCATTATTGGCCATCATTACTAGAAAAAAATAATAATAGTAATGATTTTAGGCCTTCAGTGTTTCATAGCACAGTAACAGAATTAGTTTCCAGTCATTTATTTTTCAAGGCTAATAAGTATCCATTATGTCTCAGTAGGGTTGGGTACCGAAACCCGGTACCAATATGGCACCGGTACCTACGTATGTAACCGGTATGTATTAGAACCGAATCAGAACGCAGATTTCTGTGCCTCATTTCGGTGCCATGCCTGAGCGATCGATTGAAATATTTGTCCTCTGGTTCTCCGAAACGGATGTAAGAAGCATCATCACTGGCACCGCACGTGAAAATAATTTCCCGACTGAGAAAATGCACGTGAACTCAAGTCAGAACGCTATAATAATACAAATCCAACAAATCTTTGTAATAATGCGAGTGTCCATGTTGTTTTCACATTCTGACTTAAAAGCATAACTTGGGAAATGAGAGCATCCAAGGAGCGCGTGAATGCAGTAATTACACTTGCTCTGATGGCAGCAGGTAGCCTTCCGTTAACTAAGCTAAACATGCTTAAATTAAAATGCCTTAAGCTAG